ATATATTTTTTTTTTAAATTTTAAATTGTGAGACAGGGTCTTTCTATGTAGTTCATCCTAGCCTTGAACTCACTATGCAGCTCAGGCTGGCTTTGAACTCATGGCAATCCTGCTGCCTCAGCCTCCCAAGTGCTGGGATTACAGGCGTGTGCCACCACGCCTGGCTGAAAATAGTTTAACAGAATTTAAAGAAGAAGGTAAATTGAAGGAGTCGAGAAGATATGGTCAAATGCCTAGGAACTAGCAATAGCAGGAAGATGTGAACATCCTAGGCCTGTGGGGCAAGGAACAGAGCCTGATGAGAGCTGTGGCTGCAGAGAAACAGCCTGAGTCAGAACCATGGCAGGGAGGGGGATGAACAACCCAGTTCCTCTCTGTTCCCACCTTCAGAGAGCTTAGATGATGTGGTCCCTAGAAGTCAGCCTCCTGGGACAAAAAGAAGGGCAGATAACAGTCGAGTCTGGATCTGGAAGGCAAAAGGAGATCACCTAGTAAGGAACTGTGAATCTGGCTTGGGCACCAAGGAAGGATTTAGGTAGCAGAGAGGAATATCTAAGGCACCCTCGGCCAACGGTGTCAGGAGCAGCTCTAGAGGGAAGCAGAGGGCATTAGCATTCCAACCACAGCACTGATGTGGTTAAGGAGTAAGAAGTGATGTGTGTGGGCTGAATATAAGGGAAGGTTTGAGAGAAGTTGTGGGCGCCAATTGTGAACATGCCAATTGGCCATTAGCCAGGAAATAATTGTTGTTGAAGGTGTAAAAGATTAGTGATACATTAAAAGAATATAAATAGAAAAATAGACTTTTTAGTCTGTGCATGAATAAGGTAGGAAATGCATGTTTTTATGTTATATGATCAGATTGTTAGTTGATCCAATATATGGAGAATCCATATGGCCTGTAATGTTTTCTTCTCTGTCTTGGTTTTGTCATCACACCTCTTGCAGTTTGTGGATAATGCATCTCACAAAGTATTAATAGTGTATGAATAAATTAAACGCAGCCAGGGCACTCTCCAAGTCCACTTAAACTTTTGTTTTTCACCTGTGGTGGGTGGGTTAGGATTTATATCCGAGCCACACTCCCTTCTACTGCATAATGTCAGGAATATTCAGATAAGGACCACTGTGCTCCATGCTTCTAAAACAAACTGAACTTGGAGAATTATTGACATACAGAAAACATCACTAATTTCCTGCAGTGGGTGTTAAGGCAGGAGCTTAATTTCACTGAGCTTAATTTTCACTTAATTTCACTGAGGCTGATAAATGAGAATCTGATCAAGACCCAGCCCGGCAGTTTCTAATTTAGATCCATCTTAGGATCACCTGGACAACTTTAAAACCATTTTGGGGAGGACTCTGTTTATTATTTATTATTCTGATTTAAAAGGCTTGGACGATTTAATAGCTTCTGGGTGATTGTGATACGCAGGCAGGCCCAGGACCCTTTGATTTTTGTCTGAACTCACAAGGTGGCAAAATTAGAAATGGAGACATCTCAACTGACTTTTCTGAATTCTGTACCACACAGTGAACACTAAAAATAATTGCTTTGGAAAGGAAAGCAGAATCCAAAGTGGAAAACAGGCTTCAGTGAGTAATGAGGAAGGAAACCAAAGAGGACCAGGGCTGATGTAACCTGAGAAGGTCCCACAGTCTGGAAAGGTCTTAAAGGAGTCTGTGTACTTTCTTAGGCTCCCAGAAGCAGTTTGAACTGGGAGCTCAGTGTGAGAAGGAGCCTAGCTCCTTTTCCCTGTAGCTGCTCCTTGGCCTCCCTCAGGGGTTTCTTGCTGGCAATCATTGCCAGTTTGAAGTTGGCTCATTGTTCAGGTTTGCAAGAAAAAGAACAGTGTGAAGTGAAAGTGAGCACCCTTTCATGCCTTTTCTCTTTCCACGTCTCCTGTGTAGGATGTAAGAACTCTTCAGCCATTTGCCAGTGCATCCCTGCAGCTCTGCCAGCAAGCCCCGGCCAGCACTGCAAATGACTCCTCCTTCCCAGAGCAGGAAGGTGTGTGTGGCCAGGAGCCCAGAGGAAGGTGATTCACTGGGAGGGAGGCAGAGAGAACCAGCAAACCCTCCTCAGTGCCAAAGGGCCCACCAGGAAATGGAAACCTCTGCCTTTTTCTGTCCTAAAAAAAAGAAACAGAAGGGAGAATTAGCATCCTTGTAATTCTTCTAAAGCCATTTTGGTTCCCAAGAGGATAAGGAATATTTCAGATGCCCAAGTAGGGAGTTTTTTTTGTTTTGTTTTTTTTCTTAAATGGGTGTGTCTGGGTTTTCTTTCCTGAGAACTGAAAGGCCTCTTGGCTTGTTCCTTCTCCAGTGTCCTTAGTCCTGTCGCCCCATAGGCCTCTTCCTTCTTTGCTGACAGGCAGCTCTTTCCCTCAACTGGGTATTTTCCATGGTAAGTAGGATCTCCTAGGACTGACCCAGGCCCCAGATCTAGTTCCTTCTGCTATGTGTGACTGCAGAAGATCTTTATGCCCTATTCAGCTCTGATAAGATTATCTGATGTTCCAGTTGTCAGCTTCACTCAGGATTCTTTGTAAGAAGGGACTCTCATACCCACCCATTGATGGGCGGCAAGTGATAGCATCTCTTAACACCGCACGTGCTTGTGTGTGTGTGTGTGTGTGTGTGTGTGTGTGTACGTATGTATACGTCATAATTTGCACAGCAGAAACAAAGTCAGAATTCCCACCATTTAGCTTGTCCATTTAGCTTTATTAATACTTGTTGAGAAACCCCAATGGAAATAGCCTGTCTCCACAAAGCTAAATAGGTGCTCACTAGGTTTCCCCCATCACAGATCTTGCCTGATTCTTTTGCTGCATGTGCTTATCTAGTCTCAGCATCTCAGCTGAAGATTCTCCAGAGCAAGGAGACTTCACCCTCCCTGTGGTGAATCCTTACCATGTTTAATAGCCACTTTGACGATCCTTCATCTTGACCACCTCTCCACATGGAAGATAATAGTACAGACATCGAGGACAGCCAGTTCTCTCCAGAGCCTTTTTTGCAAGTTAGAGGAAATCCTTTGTGCATTGGAAGATTATTGTGAAGGTCCAATGAGATCATCTTTCAACAAATGCCAGTCACTTCATAGTATGCAGAAGATGTGGGAGTGCAGATAATGGGATGTTGACCCCGACTCCTTAGTTTAGTAGGGTAGGGATGAATAAACACAGTTTCAGTGCAGTGTCTGCTTTGTTTTTGGTTGTTAGCCTGCCAGAATCAGCCAGCCGCTGTGTCCCATGTTCCTGGCATTGCCTGAACTTATGCTAGCCAGGCACCATCTGCAGGGCCGCACGTGGCCCCTCTACCTACAAGCTGCTGATGCCCTGCACCTTCTGCTTAGCCGTCTGCCTGTCCGCATCACTCTTGAGTCTGTTTTCCTGAAACCCTTGGTCCCTGCCTAACTGGGTCAGGTACGTCAGTCAGTTTGCAGTGACAAGGCTCCCATGCTTCATACTCACCATAGCACACAGGCCAGTTCTTCTTGTGCTCCTCTCCTTGGACTGCAGATCATTTCTAAGGGGGCAAGAAATATAAAGACTTAAGCTTTGGCCTCAGCAGAGCTGGCTCTGCCCCATCAATCTTGGCTGACTTCCTAGGGCCTTCCTTTCTTTTAAGCAGCTACTTTCCTCCTTTGCAAATTCTTTGGCACAGTAACTTCAGCAGGCTAAAAACCTTTCCAGAATATTCTCCTTGTGCTCTGGCCCCCAAGCTGCCATGGCAGAGATGCCAAAGACCACTTCCCTGGGCACTCACGAACAACCACCCTCACCCACCCTTCTTTTCCTCACGGCTTTCTCAGGAGAGGTTCTCAGCCAAGTCTGGCTCATCTCCATATGCTCCTGATAGCATTACCCTGCTCTTCTGTTCCTCTTGTTCTATTGCTGTGATCATGATCACCAGCTGCCAAGAGCCTTTGCAGAGTCTTCATTAGTCCTTAGGCAGACGAAAAGTGCAGGAGGTGATTCCAACCCATGAGGAGACATCAGTCTGCAAAAATAGAAGGAGTGAACAGGAACCCATTACCTGGCACACTCAGTTCCCTTTGTTAGCTCTCTGTCTTGACTTTTAAATCTGTGTGTGTGTGTGTGTGTGTGTGTGTGTGGTATGTATATATGTATATATGTATGTATGTATTGGTATAGAGCAGGGCCTTGTGCACTCAGGGCAAGCATTTCGCCACTAAACTCCATTCTCCAGCTGTGTGTGTATGTATACGTGTGTGCATTCTTTAAAGCCAAGTTTAGTAATACACTGTAAGCTTCTGTCCTCTCCTTTTCTCTTTTCAGTTCTGGCCTTCTACAGAGGCTCCTTGGACTCCTGTGCACAAGGGACACTGGCACCCCACATGTACTCCCAGGGCTTCTCATCCCCTATTGGTCTTGGAGGTCTCCAGAGGGACAGCTGGCCCCTCAGAGGAGCTTCTTTTTACCTGCCACATCTTTGAGCTCTGTCAGAGAAAGTGCTTGAGGAGTCTATGATTCTGGCCTGGAGGAGCTGAGGAGCGTGAGTGACAGCAGGAGAGAATTGGAGTGGAAGAGGCTGGTGAGCAGTGTTAGTGTTGACAAGCCCCAGAGCCCCAGCTTTGTGCTCCTTGAGGATCATTCTCAATGAACAGCTCCTTGTTCCTCCTCAGTGAAGAACTCGCCCGTGGTAAATCTGTACCAGGTGACCTGGCTTCTGAGGTTTGTACAGATTTTGTAGCCCATCAATCCTCAGGGACTGGGTTCTATACAGTACTCCCTGCTTCTCCATCTCGTTATTGTTCTTGAGCCTCAAAACCCAGCCCTATCATACTCCCTCTTGCAGCAACATAAGTAGCACCAACCTCCCAATACCCTTCTGGTCTTGGGCAGGAGGAAAGTCTCTGCTTGACCCCTATAGGCTATGTCCCTCATGCTAAGGTCTTATTGACCTCCTGTCCTTACTTAGAGACTTCCAAAATAAGAGACCTGTTCTTCAGCCTCTTCTTGCCTGTATGCAGTCCCTTGAATTCACTGTCCTCCTTCCTGAGCCCTCTATTACTACTGATGCCTGACGTCACCTTTGGGCTTTATCCTCATCCTTCCTTTTCCTCTTTGCAGTAGGTGGTACACACTGCTGATAATCCTCTGGCCAAAGCATTCTCCTCGTTTCTTGACTTTTTTTTTGATGTGACATTAGATGACTGATTCTCCTTACAAATCCATCTGTGCCTCCAGTTGAATCCTATCTTTTCACAGACGCTATATTATGTCTTTCATCAGTTCCTTCCTCATCCAGGCTGCAGATGCTACTACCATGGGGTCAGGAGTTTGGAATCTCAGGAGCTGGGCTATAGCCTTGACTCTTCCACTGACTGGATGACTTTGTACCTGCTACTGTCTGAGTTGCAGTTTTCTCATATATAAAATGCCTACCTCATAGGGTTATGTGAAGTGTGAAAGGGGGGCAACAGTGCTTTCCAACTTTCAGTCTGATTCCCAGATGTTCTTTCCAGTTAAACCTCGTACTTTGCTTTCTTAGAGTCCTGTTTTCACTGACTGCTTGCCCCTAAGCCTTTGCATAGAAAACTTACTAGGTTACTCTCTTGGTGAGAAGCCTGCTCGGAACATTTTGGGGGCTAGACTTCCTGCGTTAACCCTGATCCCACCACATTCTGTGATTACTTAATCTCGGTGGGCCTCAGTTTCCTCACCTATGAAAAGGTGATAATAATAGTACATTGTTGTTGAGAGCTGAGATGAGGGAATAGTTAGCCACCTACTGGTTTAGAACATGTACATTTCTTAGAATAGTGTCTGGCAGATAGTACTCAATGAATGTTGTTGTTATTACCATTTCTGATGCTTTCTTCCACGATGCTAATCACATGTAACATAAACTTAATAAATGTTGTAGGATAGATGAATATTTTTTTACACTAGCCCATTTCAATTCTTCATCTTTTTTTCTTACATTTTTTTTGAATTATCACAAAAATTGAAAGTCTCCTTTCATTTAATTCTAAAACAAAATAGAAACACTATGAATTTAAATAGATTTTGCTGTCTGGTTTAAGCAATTTACTGAACGAAGCAATATTTTCTTGGTACTTAATTTGAAATGAGTTTACTGTGAGATTATTTATGGGACAGGAGGCCAGTAAAATGGGGACAGCTCATTTTTCTAAAACCTGCTTAACGTATTGAGATTAGAAAAAAAAATTTTCCATTAAATACAGCAACTGTATCAAATTACATCAGCACTCCAGAGGGACTAGGTCAGTGGGGAGGTGGATTAGACAGAAAGAGCTTTGTTATGTTCTACTCCAGAATCTCCACTGGGAAACTGCAGAGGAAGATTGGTGGTGTGTGCAGAAGGTTAGGTGTAATCTAGAAATTGGAATCTGAAATTACTTCTTACATCATAGGTATATTTTTGTCTTTAGGGAGCTGTGTTGTTAGTAATTTACTATAATTGCAATAACCAGGTCATTGTACTATGTCTACAGAGAAGATGGAAAAATCCACCTACCCTTTAAGTGACAGTGTATCAAAGAATACAGTAAAACTATTTTAGTCAAATGCTCCTACTATTTTACTAGTTTCCCTTATATAAGGTAGGTATTTCACACCACACACACACACACACACACACACAGAATCCCTTCAGAAAAATGTGCTTGGTTGTTTTGTAGAGGTAAGTTAATGTGTTAATGATAGGGAACTGGTTTTCTGAATTATTTAGATCTTTCAGGTGATTCTTCAACAAAGACTATTAAAGCATTAGTCATCTGGGGATCAGAAGGAAGTTTTGTCTTAAGTTTTAAAAAATAGATATTAAAACAGGGAGCATCGCAAGCGCAAGGTCCTGGGTTCAATCCTTGGTACCAAAAACAAACCAGGGAGCCAATTAGCATGATGGACATTTCTTTTAGTGGAGATCAGTTAGAAGGGTATTAAAAAACCCTGGAATTTATATAACTTTATAAATGACATGGTAAAGTGACTTTATAATGTAAGACTCACTTTTATGGGTGATTCCAAGTTACAAAATATAAAATCCATAGAAATAAAATTCAAGAAGACAAATACACTGTGAATAGATGGAACTATTACGAATAATAGATTATTGCAAAAGAGTTAGTAAAAAGCCAGGTGTGGGTGTTACACACCAGTAATCCCAGCTATTTGGCAAGGTGAGGCAAGAGAGGATCACAAGTTTGAGGGAAGCCTGGCGATTTAGCAAGTCCCCTGTCTCAAAATAAAATCAGAAGGACAAGGATGTTGCCCAGTGTCAGAGCACTTTCCCAAGCATGAATGATGATTTGAATTTAATCCTCAGTACCACAAAGAAAAAAAAAGCAAGAAAAAGAGTCAAATTATTTTTGATGTGGTCAGTGAGGCCTAGGAGTCTGGGAGTTTTTGTAGCCTGTGAAGATTTTAGCCTGTAAAGTTCTTGACACCATCAGTATAGGTGCTTAAAAGCACTGCTTTGTTTATTTCAAACAGTTTTCCAGGAAGTGGTCTAACAAAACAACAGAGTTAAGCAAAATAGGTAATTTGGAGATAATAAACCAGTAATGACTTATAAAAGAACGTGAAGCATGCTCTAGTAGAAGTCTTTTAACCCTGTAGCAGAAATGTGGAGCCCAAGTGGCCCGAGAGGATGCAGAGGCATCCAGCCCAGTCTCCCCTGACTGTGGCAGGGAGCTCGTGCTTGCAGTTTAAGGAACACAGAGTGAATCGATCCACAGTTAGTGACCTCTCTGGTTTCTCTCTCAGAGCAGGATGCTGTTTCTTCTCTCTCTTTTCTCTTTCCTTCCCCTTCTCATTCTCCTCCTGCTGCTCCTTTTTCTCTCTCTCTTTCTCCTTCCCTCCCTCCCTCCTTCCTTTGCTCCCTCCCTCTTTCTCCTTCCCCCTAATTTTTCATTCCCCCCTCTTACCTTCTCCCTTTTGCCTCTTTCTTTTTAAGAACACCTCTTCCTGGGCTGGGGATTTAGCTCACTGGTGCCGCTGCCTGTCTTGCAAGTAAGTGCAAGGTCCTGAGTTCGATCCCTGGCGCACACACACACACACACACACACCCTCTTCCCTGCTCATGTCCCCATATCCCCATAGCCACGGTTTCACCCCTGAACGTCCCTTGAGTTGAAGACATATCAGCATGCTGACTATGCTGTACCGTAGGGATGCCAATTCAGAAACCATCTCCATGCTTCCCCTAGAAAGGCTGAAGACACTTCACTGAGTTAAATGAAGAAAATATGCTCTAGTAACCACGAAGAAAGTTACCTCTTAAAACCTCTGGCCTTAGACCCAACACACTGTGGATCTTGGTTCTACCACATCTTGATCCAGTAATTCAGGAATGAAGCCAATATTTCCTAGGTGTGTATCTTTCACCTGTGAAATAACAGAGAGAAGCATTGCAAAAATAAATGAGATTATTATCCATCCTACAGAGGATGTGGTGGGAGTGGAGAGATCTGGGATCATTGCTGCTTCTAAGACGAGGGGAGGGATGGAGTGAAGTAGTGCCAACCTATAGATTACTCCATCAGGCTCCAGCAGATATTCCTGCTTCAAACTAAATTGCTTATTCACTGCCCTTACTATGCCACGCATAACATGCATGGAAGTGACCACACTTGCCATTGCAGAGCTGGAGAAATGCAGAGCAGGCTGCCCCAGACAGGAGTTACCACACAATCCCCCTGGTCTGACTCTACTGGAGGTTTGTACGATGGTTTTCGTGAGTAGCACCAATACCAGGGAATCACTTAACACTAATATATTTGTTTGTGTTAATTAGCCTGTTTCCTTTTGAAAGTTACACATTATAAATAGTGTATGGGGCTAGGGATTTAGCTCAGTGGTACCACCCCCTGCCTTGCAAACAAGTTCGATCCCCACTACCCCCCCCAAAAAAGTATGGGTTGATGTGGATGTGGGTAGGGGAGGTATAGAGAGGGAAACAAGAAGATATGTGAAAAAATGTCAGCTGCACCCCCAGGAATCAGTCACTATTCATCTGTGTATCTCCTTCCATTGTTATTTTCATGCATACCTTTAAGCTTTTCAAAAAAATTATGATCATTTAATTTTATATCCTGTCTTTTGCTTTCAACATCATAATATGTATTTCCCCAACATTGCGAGCTATTCATAATTACAAAAGCTTTTAATAGGTTTGAGATATTTCTTCCATGGCTATAGCATTATTTGCCTTTTCTTTTTCCAAAAAATGTGGTTTTGTTCAAATTCCTGTATTGTAAATACTGCCACGATGACCATCTCAGTGCCTAAGGATGAGTAAGACTGCCTTGAGATTCTAATATGTGTCAGACTTTGGACTGGATCCTATGCAGAATATATATGGCTCCTGTTCTCAAGAAACTTACAATCCAGTTTTGGAGATAAAAACATATTCCTAGGTTACTCCTGAGCTCTTTTTCCTTTTAAGATTAGTAAAGTGACTATGTGTTAAACTATTGAACTAAAAAAGATTCTTTTATAAAAACAAAACCAAGAAAGTATAAATATGTTAATTATAGTTGGTATGTAGCACATACCTAGACTGTCCAAGACAGCAACAGTCATGGGGAAATTAAGTTTAAACAATAATTGGTCTGAGTTTGAACTGTGTCTAGTATCTAATAACTGCTACCAAACCATATATATTACCTCTATTTGATTTAAATGCTATGATAGAAGTGTTTCTCATGTATCCCAAAATGTAGGAATCTCCATTAAGAACCTGTGCTGGGCTGGGGATTTAGCTCAGTGGGGCTGCTGCCTCGCAAGTGCAAGGTCCAAGTTTGATCCCCGAAGGAAAAATAAAAAGAGAGAGAAAAAAAAGAACCTTTTGGATTAAATTTCAGCCAACATTGCTGGCTGGTTATTTGAGCTGCAGTTCTTATTTTGTAGTTACTTTAACTTACATAGAAATATTCCATTAGAACTGTGAAATCCATAGAGGTAGAAGAGATTTACAAAAAAGTGTTATAGGCTGAGGAGGGCTGGGGAGTGTAGGTCAGTGGTACAACATGTGCTCATCCATGATACTTTGGGTTCAATCCTCAACATGCCCCCAAAATATCATAACTGTGTGTGTGCGTATGTGGAAGATGGGGTGCTGCTACAGTGCAGGGGTGAGGTAAACACAAGAAGTAGAATAGAAATAGCCTGTTTGAAGGATTTTTTTCAAACACCAGGATTACAAGTTAACTAGAATGAAGTGTGTGCGCATCAGAGAACCAAGTACTTTCAAGCACAAGTGTTAAAAATTATAGAGTAGAACATGGTGTGGTGTGCATGCCTGTGATCCCAGCACTGTGGGAGGCAGAGACAAGAGAATTGCAAGTTCAACCCAACTGGTCAATGTGGCAACTTAGCAAGACCTTGTACCAAGATGAAAAATTAAAAAGGGCTCGGGATGTAGCTCAGTGCAAAGGCCCTGGGTTCAATCCCTAGTACTCTACACACATGTACACACATATGCATGCACACACACATAATGGTAGAGTAGTAGAGGCTTCCTTAGAGTCTTGGCAGAATGATTTAAATGTTCCCTCTCTGTTGTGAACTGGGATGCGTCTCAACATGTGTTCTCTTCTTTCAGATCGATGACCCCACCAGCAGCCTCGCGGAGGTGATTAATGAGGCTGAGGCCATCGCCTCTGTGAACAATGTGGGAAGCAAACAAGCCTTGAATTCAGATTACCTTGATTCTGATTATCAAAGAGGACAGATCTACCCGTTCTCCCTTAACAGTGATCCTCAGATGGCCACATTTACTCTCACAAATTCTGCTCCAATGACCCAGTCCTTCCAGGAACGGTGGTACATGAATCTCAACAGCCTAATGGACAGGGCCTTGATTCCTCACTGTGGCGATGGGGAAGACCTGTATCTCATCACTGGCACAGTGCCTTCAGACCACAAAGTTAAAGACAAAGTGACAGTCCCTGAGTTTGTGTGGCTGGCGGCCTGTTGTGCTGTCCCTGGAGGAGGCTGGGCCATGGGCTTTGTCAAGCGTACCCAGGACAATGACATCATAGAAGATGTGATGGTGAAAGACCTTGAGAAACTGCTTCCATCAAACCCTCAGCTTTTTCAGAACAACTGTGGTGAGACTGAGCAGGATACAGAGAAAATGAAAAAGATTTTGGAAGTGGTTAATCAAGTCCAGGATGAGGAGCGAAAGGTGCAGTCTCAAGAAAGCTCTATTCCCCTCTCCAGCACCCAGAGCAAGACGGCTGCCCTGTTGGCCCCAGAGGCACCTGAGGAAAGCAGCAGCTTTTTGGGGAAATTCCTGGCTTTCATTGCTACCCCATTCATCAAACTTTTCCAATTAATTTATTACCTTGTGGTAGTTATCCTAAAGAACGTTGTCTATTTACTGTGGTATGTTACCAAGCAGGGGATTAATGGCATAGGGAGCTGCCTTTACCGCCTGGGTTCTGCCACTGTCTCCTATTTTGTGGCCATCGGAGAAGAGTTGGTGAGCATACCCTGGAAGGTGCTCAAGGTCATTGGAAAAATCATCAGGGCTATTCTCCGGATCCTTTGCTGTCTACTGAAGGCTGTTTGCCGAGTTCTGGGCATCCCAGTCCGAGTCTTTCTGGATGTGGCCACTTTCCCTGTGTACACCATGGGGGCAATTCCAGTTGTTTGTAAGGACATTGCCATCGGCCTGGGTGGCACCATCTCTCTGATCTTTGACACTGCTTTTGGCACTATGGGTGGCCTATTTCAAGTTGTTTTTAGTGTTTTCAAGCGGATTGGCTACAAGGTTACTTTTGACAATTCTGGAGAATTATAGAACTCAAAAAAAAAGCTAATATTGTACAGTCACAGTGAATTTGATTTTTTAATAGAGAAAGCTGGAATAATTTTGTCTTTAAACTAGGTTTCTATTCACTGTCAATTTTTTTTTCTTTTGGCCTTTGTTTGGGGTGTTTTGCAAAGGAAGATGGTATAATTTACACTCGACATTAGAAAAATGCCCAGGATGGGATTTAGTAATCAACTGTATACTTCCAGTTAGATGTGTGAGCTTGCAAGCCTCTGATACAGAGTGAAACAGTGGAAACATTCTGGTGGTCACCTTTAATGAGTAAAAATTACAACAGAGGCAAGAATTAGAAAGAAGACAATTTTAGGGGCGGGGATTTAGCTCAGTGGTTCGGTGGCCTGCCTTGCAAGTGCAAGGACCTGAGTTCAATCCCCGGTACCAAAAAAAAAAAAAAAAAGACAATTTTAAACTCAAGGGTTCCTGAGAAAACGAGAAAGGAATTTTGTTATTTGCGATTTAAGACAAAACAGATCTAAATGTTTCTGGCCAGTTTCTTAGCATTCGCTTCTCTTTCCCCCTAACTCAGGTGACCTCGGTGAAGGGCAGATGGTGCTTGTCTGTTCAAGTAACTTTCCTGTGGGTACGGACTCTAATGTATCTCTTAGCTTTCCATGGTTCTCAAGGAGGATCTGTTAAATTTTTATTTTCCTCCAAAGTTAAATTTGCTGCATTTTTCTTTTAGGCAATAATAACATTTTATGCCAAATGTGGCATAAGAAAGTTTGAATCCGAGTTTGGGTGGAGTAAATAGTCCTTTCACCTGTAAAAAGGGAATGCAAGAGTGATAGCTCTGCTCTTCATAGGCACTGTAGATCCAAAGACATCCTTAGCTAAGCCTGGATTAACTTGACATGTTAAATCACTGACTGACAATTGAGCTCTAAGATCTACGTGTTAAGGCTAATAAGAACATTCATATTCTGCAACATACAAAAATCCTATGCATCAAATAAGCACCCAATACAGTAAAATACTCTGACTTCTTTCCATAAATATTTTGGTGTGAGTATATAGGAAAGAGACATAAAATAAAAAATATTCTGGATGTGTTAGAAAAAGTATATATAAAAATATTTAAGAATCATTGTTTCTTAGGAGCTTATTTTTATTCTGAGGATATTAAACAACTATTAGTGAAAGTTAAATTTGAGAGCTTATTGCCAATTTTTGATCAAGTACTCATCAATTTAAAGTTTGTGCTAAAAATAATAACAAGAGGAAGCAAATTTTGCTTTGCCTTCCTCAGCTGGGTTGGAAACATCTGATTTTTTCTAAGAGATTTGAAGGGTTCCTGTGAAGTAGGACTGTGTGGATACTGATCTTAGAGGCATAGCCCTTGGTGCAAAATATTGAGCGTCCAGAAAGGCAACAAAGAGAGAATAATGTGTTAACCATTTCCTTGGGGCTGGTGGATGAGAAATAGGAGTGTAACAAGAGTTACAATTTGTAGAAAAAATTGCCTTGCAACCCAGAGTGGAATAGCAGCCCCCCAGTGGGCATCCTGGTCAGTTTGTGATGCAAATCTGGGAGTGTGAGCCCCACACTTGTCTAGGCTGATAAATTGATGTGCATCAATTTATCCAAAAATCCTAAGCAGCATTTACTAATATTTTTGGGAGGTAAATGAAGAATGAGGGTTTGCTTTGGGGCTGATGGGTCAAGAATGCTGCTAGATGAAAGAAAGGGAATCTTAGAAATGACCAGGGAGACAGTCTGGCTATTCCTCATTTGATGAGGTACCTGAGGTACAGAGAGGCTACAGGCTTAGCCTCAGTCTCATGGCTGGCTGAGAGCAGGTCAGGAGCCAAAGCCCCCATGCTACCCACACACCTGGGATGTCACATGTGCAACTGTGTGCTGCTGCCGTAGACCTTAAGCAAGATATTTTTCATGTATCAAACAGACTCCAGGCCCTGTATAAGCAATTGGATTTGGCATGTGTGATCAAATGATCAGCATTCATACAGCATTATGCTTACTGCATTGCATGTAATCTCCTTTCCCTCATTGTACATATTTATATTCTGAGAGGCCCACGGAGGGTATCCATGGCAAGTTGAACCGCTAAGCAGTATGCAAGGAGCGAGGCATCCAAACTCCTTTTAGAGAATTGTTTGGAGATGTCACATCATGTTGTTCAGTGTCTATTTATTCTTGTGTGGTCTTTTTGGATAGCTGGGAAGTGATAATTAAGCCAAAAAAATAGCCTTAAGGTTCAGTGGCTGAGACCCAACACAGTGTTGGCTGTGCCTCTGGTTCACTGGAACTGACTGCACTGGGCTTGAAGCCCTACCAGTCACTTGATTACTGGTCTGTTTTCAGTGAGCTACTTGGGTCTTTGAAGTCGAATTTGGGTTGTTGAACCCTATCTCTGGCTTGAAGATTTTGCTGTGGCTCTGTTGTGTTCCCAGGCCCTTGGAGAAGTCAGCCAACTCTGCTTCATTTATGGAGCTGGTTTTCTAGTCTATGGATCAGCCACACCTTTAGACTCCACTTTTCCATTGTGCCTTTTCCATGTTGGCTTCCTACTCAGCATCAGCACTTTCACTTAAATGCAGACTAAGGAGTTGGGAGGCGTAGCTGAAGCGAAGCACTCTTCATTCCTCAACCATTCAATCCAAACATGTATTTGGTCATCAGGGGTGCAGAGATGAAAAATGCGTAGATTCCATGTGGTGGGAAGAATGCATAGTTAATTCGTATTTGTCATGCTTCATTGTAAGTGCTATCTTAACAGTACTATAACCGTACTCCTTAGAGCGCGTGGCAGTGGTGGGCAAAACCATGGAGATTAAGGAAGCCTTAACAGAGTGGGACAAAAGTAATTTGACATTTTCAAACTATGTACAATGCTGTGTACCTTGCAGATGCTCAATAAAGTAATTATTGACAACTCATTAACAGTTCTGTAAAATATGTAAAGGAAGAATCTGGTTAAAATGAAGTTTGAGGAATATGTGATTTTTTTCATACTTTTCGATGTTATTCGTGTACTTAACACCAGCGTTTTATTGCTTCACTGAATCTGAGTCACACAGAGAATTATAAAGGCACTCTTATTTATTTGTTTTTCCACTAAGAAACCCCCCCAGTGTGAGAAATAACAAGCAGTCACTGATCATCTTTGTGGCCTTGCGGAGGGTGCCCCCCTGTGGGTGAGGGTGTCAGTGACTCTTGGCCTTCCCAGTAGGGGTAGAGTCTTAAGTGAGGGTGGTGAAACATTCTGCCTAAGCTCACCACATATAATGTGGAATGCTTGACTTTCATAAATGAGTTTTCTGACTTCTCATTGACTCTCTCTGTAGATCTTTTCCCTGGCTCACGTTAGCAGGCCTAGCTTTCAACTAAGAAAGTGTGGTAACCGTTTTCATTGTCCCTCAGGCTCAGTGTGTGAGAGTACACAGTGAGATGCTCTCAAGAGGTAGACGGTCACTTCTGGAGACTCCTGTTACCTAATAGTTAAGAGCCCAAGCTTTAGAGTCAAAGTGACAAAGGCTTGAATCCTGGCTTCTTCACGTACTAATTGTATTGCCTTGGGCATGTTACTTATGTGGCTTCCTCATCTATAAAATGGGGCTCAGTGTAAATATTTACCTATGAGAGTTATTATGAGTGTTAAATGAATTTATGAACATAAAACATTCATTACTGTGCCTGGCCCATGGCATTTCTCAGCAAATGTTCATCATCATGATAGCTGTTGTTGGCAGTAATGCTCACCGATCATTGAGTGCACTCAGCTGGGAGTTGCCATAAAGTTCAGGATATTCTAAGGAAATCAAATTTGGAGGGACCAGTGTCAAGTATAGTCTGAGTCCAGATTGTGAATGAAAGTGAAGGAAGATAAAACCTCACCAGCAGTGTCAATGAATCTGAATGATCAGGTGCAGATTGGACCTGGAGTGTTAGAAAACAGGAACTGAATGTATTTCTAGTGCTGTTCCTGGAGGGGAGAGGAGCTTTTCTGATCTCTGGAGTAGAAAAGCACTTTCTTTGTCCCTTCCTCACTGACACCATGATTTTATGACAGATTTGGTTTCCCAAGAATCCTAATACTTGGAAGAGAGTAAAGTATATAAACAGCATATACATTTTAGAGCTAAAAGGATAGTAGCCCTTACTGTAAATCATTCTTCAGTCTCACATTAAGGAAGTGTGAATTAGTCTCCAAAAGATTAATTGTTCCTGAGGGATTTGATAAAATAGAATTTTATCTAAATTCTGGATCCTCATACATGACCCTTACAATCACTCACTCCCCACCAACCCACAATCACCAGAACAGCTACACTCTTCGAGAGGCCCTTTCTTTACCTTGGTGCCATCTTTGGGTTGTCTCATCCCACTTAAAATACCTACATCCAAAGCACATGCTGTCAACACCCTGGACTTTGGAGGCTTGGGTATGATCTAAAACCACACAGGGTCACTGTAAATAGTATAATAACATCACTTTTAAAATGAGAAGTTTTTGAAAAAGAATCTACGCTAAACAGATGCACTGAAAGATAATTTTGACAATTATGATATTTTAAGAAATGTATTTATTCTTTGTGTCCTGACCTGGCCCATTTAATGGCTCACCCTAGGACAAATATTAAGAAAGTCACACTGGCTGATGCTCACTGCGCATGGACTTAGCTCCTGAACCATTTTTTTGGTGGCAAGTTCCACGCTCTCCTGGCCTCCTTGATAGGCATCATCTCATTTCCTTTCTGGTTCCCACTCCAAGGAGATCATGTACTAGGTGACTTTTGAGTGTTTAAGCCTTAAATTTTCAGGACTAATCTTGCCTCTTATCATACAGTTACATTCCCAGAAAGATGAGTTTTCTAACCCAGAGCACCTTTCCTTATAGGCAGTGCTGAGGCAGCTCCAGCTACTACTGGTCTTGCCCCATGAGCATCTTAATCATAATTGGAAAGCTCTGGGTAAGGGGTAGATACCAAGTTTAACCCATTTATGCTGAAGATGGCAATTATTTGAATTTTTACATGAAATTCATATTACTTAGAAAAATTCAAGAAAT